TGCGGTTTAGTATCTTCGATTATTAATAATTCCAGGCGGTATTGTATAGCGATAATCAAGTAATTATATATACTAATGTTATATCATATTAGAACATTATATTATATCAGAATATTTTTACTACTTAATTTAATATGTTAACAAGAGGATTTAAAAGTCTATCAGTTGTCATTTTTGATAGAAAATCTATTCTTTTTCAGAAATAGTTTTAGGATAACCGTATAGAGTTGTATAATGTAATATTACCGTAAAATATAATATGATTATAAAACATAAGGAGGTTACATTATATAATCGTATAAAGTAGTTGTGGAAATCCATTATTCTGAAAATTTAAACATATAAAATTTTAATTCTTAAGAAGCACACGCATTAAAATGGAAAAGAAAACCTTAAATAAATTATTGAAATCAGTTTATTCCCTTAAAAAATAAAATTCGACGAAAACTAAATACCCATACCTACTTAAACCCATGTGGGGACCTACGCTTCACTAATTTACGGTTCATACGATTTTTATTTTTACTTTAAATATTTATTTTTATCAGTCAACTTGTGTTGACAGTAAGTAAGCAAATGTGCAAAAATACGATATTTATCAATTTATGATATTTATCAAATTTCTAAGTAATTTAATCTGATGAAATATTGATCAATAACTTTAGGTAATTTTGATTTAAGATTATAAGTAATTTTGGAAATTCGACTTATGAGATCTCTCAGAACATTTCAATGAGAACTAAACCCAAATGGCTTTAAATACTATATAACTTAACATGAAAATGACTCAAAATCATTAAAGCTAATAAAATTGTAAAATCTATAATATAAAGACAAGAACTAAAAAGATGATATAACCATCTCTCGCATTTTCAGGACTACAGATCCTCACTTACGAAACAAGCGACTGATTTACAACACCCTACTGAGACCAATTTGGACATATGGATCAGAACTTTGGGGTTTGGCAAAACAAACATACATAAATAAAATACAAACAATAAAAAATTCTTCGAAAAATTGTCAACGCACCTTCGTACTTTTCAAATAACATTATATTTAACAACTTAAACATCCCAACAGTAAAATCGTACATTCACGACAAATACACTTCATTTCACTCTTCAATTATAAATCACTTCAATCCATTAGTCCTTTATATCTCCTGCTCCGTGTTATCTGATCGACGCATAATAAAACGAAAATGGCCCAAGGGACCTATTTCTACAATAATAACAAAATGAAACTGATCAAGCAAACTCGCTGCTAATGCCCATTACATGAAATTTGCAAGGTGCGCTGCAGTGTAGGTTCAAATAGCATAAAATGTTAAAATAAATAATATAACAATAAAAGAGTACTTCCGATAAATCGTTACTAGCGAAACACATCCTATTACATATCAGACATGTAACTTGAATACATAATTTAAATCTCGTATGTATTTTCATTTATGAGCTATTCTCTTCACTTACACACACACAGAATATTTGGCGAGAAATTTGTTTATTTGGACTCAGCGGAACATTTACTGAGCGAAAATATAAAATACATTTTCGATAAAGAAGGCATAGTTTCATATATGATTTTCATGTTTTAATCTACTTTCGAAATAAAAGATAAAATTATTTTTCCAAATGGGTTCTCTGGATTGGAAATCATTTAACGGAACCTGCTAAGAATGGAAACTAATTTTGAACACGTTACGTAATACATCCGTAGTTTCAGCTGAAATTCAACAAAAACTGCCCAGCAATCAGGAAAATCACCCAAGTTAACTTTTTGTAAACAACAAGTTAAGCAATAAGTCCCTGGAGCACGTCCCCGATGAAGAAGAAAAACTAACCATCCGCTGGCTGGGTTATATCATGCAGCAAAAGCCAAATTGTCTAGTGCCAGCTCAGCTTTACACCCCTTCCGTTCTAGACATCAAAGGTTCGAATCTTTCGGATGTTATCCAATCTTAGGGAAGTTGCGAGATAAGGCATTAGTTACATCATTTTATGATGCAATCATAAATAAATATTTACAGTGTTGTGACTTATTTTAATCAGTGATATTTTAGATCTTCGGTTTATTACGATAAGTACATTTTTGATTGAGATGAACTTTTATAAAAGTGTTTTGTACTTCGACCAAAAAACACAGTAAATACACTAAAATGATCCTTTATATACCAAATCGGTGAAAGGTTGTGGATTCTGACGAGAAGACAGAATGATTTCATCCTGGTACTTCGACTACCTCATTTACCTTTTTTGCTGAGATTAAAGAGAAACCCTGGTCATTGGATAAAAAAGAATGACACCTCAATCGAAGAAAGGTAAATGATGTTTTCTAACAGTCCGAGACAGTGAACCAGCATATAACATTTTTTTAAAAGTAAATTGTGAAGTTTCCACTTTTTTTTTTTAATTTGTTTTAACCATCTTCAACTAATTATACAATTAGTTGAAGATGGTTTATAAAATATAAACAAGGGATATGAAAAATTATTTAACTATTTACATATAATGAAAATCAGAAATTTATAATGGTTGTGAGCCCTAGGTAACCTAACCTACTGGATAGGTTAGTTTACCTAGTATGGTTAGTCTCACTTTTACCTCAGCCCCCCCTCCACTTCTCGTGAATGAACCTTTGATTTCCGGATGTTCGGAAACCCGCAACACACCACCATCAGTACTTCATTCACTACCTTACACGATAATTCGGAACGTCATTAGTGTTTCGGAGTGTAGGGTCCGCTTATGAATTAGGACGTTAGTAGGCATGAGGAAAAGGAGTGCCCCGCAGCGACCCTTCCTAACTTGATTTGATGTTATAGTTAGTGGAGGAGATCCTTCATCCAGCTTTTTTTTTTAGTCTCTTACGGGTGCCATCACATCATAGAGATATAAATATCATTTCTTTAATTTAATATTTCATTATTGTTTTTATTTATCTTCAGCTTATCTTAATTTTCGTTTATTAGCAGTTCTTATTTTATTTGATGATCAACTAGTTCTTATATTATTTATTATCAATATAAGAAGTGTAAAATTGATTTCATTTTTTTTGTTTAAACTTTATTATTTGTTATTATGGGAAAAATTAATGGTTAGTCCAGGTTTTGTTTTGTTCAATATCATGCATTAAATTATTATTTTTATTATACAATTATTTTCTCTTTTTTCACATCTGTCAGTTAAGCTTCATTCTATGTTTTCACCTAAAACGCAAGAGTGCTTAACACAAATGTCCAAATATTTTCTCCCAATAAATTTAACATCTACGAGTGGTGGAAAAATTGGATAGAACAATTCATGGAAAGTGCATGGAATTGTAGATATCTATTACATTCATGCATGGAAGATGTCGATATTTGGTAATGAAATCCATAATTGATAAATTGTTAATTCTTAAGCGAAAAATAGTTAAGAGCATCTGGATTTTTATGAAATATAAAGGTTTAGGTTTGATCAGATCACATTTTCCTGGGCCAGTGGTTATGCTAGGAATGTAGCGTTTTCACGCTCCAATCAATTTGTTTTTGTTTTTTACAAGTCTTTTTATAGACAGTCCGAATACCGACCGAACGGGCCAGGAAAGAACTTCATTGGTCCGGAAGCTTTATAGAATAATTCAATTTAAGGGCGTCGATCAATTTGAAAAACACTTAGACCATTTTTCTGATTTGATTTCTGGACATTTTTTGTTGAAGGTCAGCGGAAACTTCGGACATATTGCGTAAGATGTTCAAATATGTTACCACTCTAATCCGGTCTCGTGAAATGAATTTCAATCTAGAAAATATATTTGGACAAATCATTTTATTTATTATTTTGAAAGTCAATGGAAATGATGCATTAGGCTGAGGATTCTTTATCGAGAATATATTTTTACTTCCGGGGTGGCGGTCATAAATAGCTTAAATAGTGGCAAAACTTTAGCACCAGTGACCCGACTTTGCAGGTCTTCTGCAGGGAGGTGTGTTCAGCTAGGAGTCTGACTTAGAGCTATTCTAAATCAAACTCCTAGCTGAGCACACCTCCTTAGGATCGCTCTAAGTCAGACTCCTAGCTGAACACACCTCCCTGAAGAAGACCTGCAAAGTCGGGTCGAAACGTTGGTTTTTAATAAAATAGTTTTACCACTATTTAGCCTATTTATGACCCCGACCATCTCCTTCCTTTATAATGCAACGGTCAACTATCAAATATTCAATATTTTTACTTCCTTTTAATTAATGTATTAAGTTCTCCTGATTCCAAATAATTGATTCCGAAATCAAGCCGAATGGTGTTTGTGTGTTCGGTGTGTATGTGACAATAATAGCTCAAACATGAAAAAATATACGAGATTTAAATTAAGTATTCAAGGTAGGTATTATTGAATATTACTGATTATATACAATCAGACAGAGAACCCCAAGCCGGACTTGTCCCTCTAACTATATAGAGAAGAGCTCAAAGGGATCCCTGTACTACTCTCTCAATCGCGTCACTGGTGCTAAAGCCAGTGTGCTTTAGCCACACAGAGTGTGCTTCAGCCATACAGGCATGTCTTGAGAGGAGAATCTGGCCATTGTCAGAACTCCAATATATACATCATACAAGATAAATAAATACATTTTAAGCGAACCAATGTTGTGTTCAATGGACTTCCTCGATACAGGTAGAAATAATTATCTATATTTACTATATAAACGACAATAATATATTTTGGAACGTAGCAATACAAATGAAGCCAGTATAAGTAAGCCATTCTAAGAGGAAAATGTCCCCAGAGTAAAAGATGTTTTCATTTTCCACTTATTTGATTTTATTTCTATTATTTGAAGCTTCAGACAATATTGTATTCAATTTTCTATCAAATTCGTAAATTTCAAATTAATATATCACTTTTTATGAACCTACACTTTTTCTTTCTAACGTCCTACATCGTTCAACGATAACTTTAGGGCAACCTCGTGGAATGGAGGTTCGCCTTGCCCTTAGAGATCCGTCAAGATCAAGAACATGGTGGCATGGCGAGGACCTATTAGAGATCACGCAGAGCTGACCTCCTTACCCAGTTCTGCGGCGAATTCTCAATCATATCGTTGTCATATTTGCATTCGTATTACCATACACACAACATACGCTATGCAGAAGAATGGACAACAAACTAGTTATGGCTCCAGCCGGTTCATATCCTCCAGTCATCCCAATCCATCCTGCAGAAGAAAGTTTCACGTGCCGTTAGTTTTTAATAACTTTTCTCTTGGCTGCCTCTTAGCGGGCAACAATTATCCATTGTTACTATGAATCGTAATCTATCAGTAGGTAACTGTAACCGATAGATAAATCATCTGCATTTCCTTCCTTTGTTTAAGCACTACTAAAATTTACATTAATTTTTTTTTTTCATTCAACTTCAGGGATAATAGTACGGTTCTTAAGTTGGAAATATTTTAGAGATGTTTCGTGACTTTATTGTTCTCATGGTTCTTTTCTAGGCAAACAATACCAGAAAAGTGGGGATGAATTGAAGTCAACATTTTTGCACTTCTAAATGTTTTTGAGGTTTTTCAGTCCTCTATGGCCCCTCCAAATTGAGTTAGAGAAAATTATTGATTTGAAAATTAGTATGTGATTCGTGTCTGTGCAAGAGCGGTGCCTTTTGGGGGTCTCAACTTTCTTTCTCCCACCCTGCCATTTTGATGATTTAAATTAAAAACTCTAAGCCAAGCCACATCCGTCTTTCTCTAAGGAAAGATTCATGTCCACCTTCGACCATCGGCAACAATCCATTCCCTTCTAAAAATTATGTATGGTACCTTGGATACTAATCAGATAAAAGACTTACTTGGGACAAACATGCAAAACTAAAAAGACAAGAACTAACAAGAAGACACAATCAATTATCACCACTGGCGGATCTACGGGGAGGGTCTTTCGGACTGAAGCCTCTCTCCCCTTTCTCTCCCAAAATGGATGAATTGTTTTTATTTAATTGGCCCATATTTGTTACTGTGAGTGATATAAATACTTAACAACAAGAATATGTTCTATTTTTTAAATTATAATGCATATTATACTGAATATTATATAACCACGTTTGAAAAAAAAAAAAAAATCTCTTGAAATTTAAGTGCCTTTTCAAATAGTCTGATTCATTAAATGCAAAATAAATAAATCGAGACAAAATGAATATAAATCAAGTTTAAAGAACATATTTCTATTTAAACATCAGCTAAGATATTTTGTTAAGTTATTCGTTGAATTATATTGTTATTGTTTGAATTATATTGTTGAATTAAAAAAAAAAAAGTCCGTCTTTTACAAAGGACGGCCATTGCACTTCCGTATTTATAATCGCTTTTTATGAAATGGTCAAATATTTTGTTAGGGAAACAGTTTGCCTACAGATGGGGAGCATGAGACATGCTATTCAACTTCTAGCATGCCAGGTTACTGACCAAAACTAAAATTAAGAAATGGATAATAAGATTATAAAATATAGCAATACATGTAATATATCAAAATTTCCTTGATTTTTCCCAAATTGCCCCACCAAAATGAAAATTTCAATAAAAAATAACATGATATTGTCATGCTTTTCATCTTCTAAGAAGTCATTTCTGCCCTTCATTTGAGCTCTTTGTCTTGAATATTGTGACAATCTGAAGATTGATAAGTGTATATGTATATATATATATATATATATATATATATATATATATATATATATATATATATATATATATATATTGTAAATGATTAAATGAGGCGTTATTTATCATAGTGTTATAGTACTATTTTAAAATTGAAATAAAATGAGAATGATGTTCACTGCCCTGCTAACAGTAACTATAGATTTGCAATTAGGAGGTAAAGGTGTCACGGAGGAAAGATCAATTAGACGAAAATGAAACAGAGCAAAACATGCATTAAGGACACTCGAACTAGGGCAGATCTCAACGGGCTCTTCAACGATAAGGATAAAGGAATTGATTATTTGGGCAGTAGAGTCACTAGACATTGGAGGATTAGCTACCAACTCTATGAATGCCTTATAATAACTACAAAATATAATGTTAAAAAAGAAAATAACAAAGGAGGTATATTTATTCGAAACTCAAGATTTTTTTCTAACTAAAATTTAGGCCACATTAAGATTTGGAAGTGATAATGGAGGCCGCAATAATGTTTCATATTTAAATGTTGCTATTTTTATTTTTAAGTAAATACACAACCATATATGTACATATATGCCATTTAATTCTATTAATTTTCGTAACCTAAATAATTAAATATTATTAATTAATTCTAGCACTAAATTAATGAAGATCGTACTCATGGTCACAGTTTCTCCATGGCATAGATTCGCTAACAAATATGTGTTGATGTTCGCCAAATAACATTATGACGTGAGGATATGCCAAAGTTAGACATTAACCTGCATTATAGAAAAATTACTCCATAGAAATAATTTTATTATTAACGTATTAATGATGACGTACTGTAAATAAATGGCTAGAGAAAAAACACAACCTAAATAGACCGGTAAAGAAACATTTTAAGTAACCTCCTTGAAAAGTGAAATATTTACTTTCAGATTAAGGGAAGGTTTATTGATAGATAAAATAATGAAATATGTTGGTATTAAAAATTATGGTTCAATAATAGCATGTGTTTTTTTTCTGTGAGTAAATAAAGTTCATAAAAATAATTATTACAACTGCTATTAAAACAATTACAACTCATTTTATCCATAATTTTAACAGGACTAGAAGCTATTGTCTATTAACAATTTTTAGGGTCAGTTGTACAATTGAAGTTCAAGCCAAGTTCAAGCTTGAACGACAGTCAATCATTCATGATTTTCATGGTTGACTATAGTTCAAGCTTGAACTCCAATTGTACAACTGGCCCGAACAGGCCTAGATGCTATTTTGTTATTTGTTATTTATTTTTTTAGTTGCTAACCTTAACTGGTTACTTATCAAAATGAATTTGTATGCAAGCTAACAGATTGTTCTTTTTTACAATTACTTTGTTTTCCTAGCTAAAATTGATTTCAATCAATTATGAGTTGGTCGCTGTTATTTTTAAACTGTTATTTATAAGATAAAATAAATTATATCATTGCTTTGTCCGTATTTAGAAAATTTTAATCCGTCCTTATTTAATTTGTAAAAATGTTCTACCTTTTTTTTTTAAATATTACATAAATGCTTTTCCTATAATGATAAAGTGCAAAGAAATAACATAAAAAAATAAAAAGTAAACTCAAAGGTTAATGTAATCAAATAAAAGTAAATAACATTATTAGTAGTTCCTTATAACTGTTATTTAATACAAACTAATTTACTTTTTATTTTACAAAGTGTATTATGATTATAAAAAACATTATTTTAATCCCTAATCCACTAGATAATATTACTATAATATAATAATATAAAAGGTTAATTATGCACAGTACTATAACATATTATTTTAATCTCTGATTCACAGAAAAATTATTATAAATAAAATATAATTTATTTTTCAGGATTCCCTTATTCCTACAACCCCTTACACCCACTTGACGAAACTCTTCCCCATCGCATAATCTTGTTTGTTGAACACCGAAGTCTCAACTGAAAAAAATACCGAACGTTTTTCATTTCTCTGTCAAAATTAATCGGCCTCTCACACTTCTCATGCAAGGGGTAGAATATTTCCATGTAAAAAGAAAATTATCTTGCTCAAGAGGGGTGAATTATACCCGATTTCATATCGGACACGCTCCAAAATGAGTCAACCCGCCATCTTGCTTCACTGCCCTACAAACCTTACCCTTCACCTGAATCACCAACCTACTTTAAAATCATTGTTTAAAATTGAATTGCATTTATTACTATCTTGATAGTTTAAAAGAAAAAACTGAAGTAATGTAATCCCTGGAACAGAATTCTTTTTTTTTTTTATCAAATTATTAACACTCGTATAAGTTCTCGTGAAAGAATTCATTTTATTGTAAGCCCCAACTTTTTTATTTACGAAAATGGCTGTTTTCAATCTAGAGATCGGTAAACAATCTTCATTTAATGAGGTACTAAAAACTCATAAACACCCATTTGAATTCCAGTTGCAATGTAAGATAATTTGATTATAATATCGAGAGAAAAGATGGCCAATAAACACGTCAAAATAACGAGGTCATGAAGACCAAACGGCCCAATATTTTTGTAGGCAACCTTTCTTCCATTTCTATATGTTCTTTCATCTTTATATACTTTATTTATTGAATAATAATACAATCAGCCACTGTAAGAGGGCTTTAAGTATTAAGGTTAAAAGTTCTCATTCATACAAATAATAGAGAGATAGCTATAAATATAAAGTAATTAAATAATACTGATGAAAAAAAGTAAATAAACAAATAAAAATTTTAAAAACTTCTAAACACATTCATACCTATATATAATATATACATTCGCCCAGGAATCTCCGAGTCAGGCTATTTCCCCCACATGTGGAAGGCAAAGCAAGACTCTAGGAGATCCCAGTGCAACTTTTCCAGCAGTATCACTAGTATTAGAAGCCAGTGGAGACTGAAAGAGGGCACTAGAGCCACAAACGCTCAGGACATGAGTGGGGAATCTAGCCATCCATTGCCAGGACTCCAAAGGCATATTTACAAAAGATCTCGAGACCACTGCCATTTCAACCTTCGAGGGGAATGGTATGGATGCTCGGAGCTGGATAGGGATTGCGCTGGATAATTGGGATGATGAATAAGGTTCTGGTGAAAGTTTGAGAATCTGGATGGAATGATGTCATGGACATATGGAATGTTAGGTCATAGTATAGGGTCTTGTTCGTGACATAATATGGAGCATTGACTATTGTTGGAAGGACTTTGGACTGGAAGGATTGGATACCTTTGATATTCGACTTCTATAAGTTCTGGAATCATTTTAGAAAAGGGAAGCTTAATCAAATCAAGATTCTGCTTTGATACCGAAGAGATAAACTGCTCCCTTGAAGGGGAGGACAGTATTAAATACCTTGGTTGACGGTTCTCTGGATAGCTAGAGTTCGATAATGGTTCTGTGGCTAAACTAGAAATATGGAAAAATTGGTAAGTTCAAATCTTTTTAAACCAGAACAGAATATCAATATTGTCAATGGATATGTCTTCTCTTCTCTAATATACCCACTGCAAACGGCGCCATTGGCAAAATTGTCCCCATTACTCATGGAATATCTAGACAGTATATTACGAAGATGTAAGAAGTGCTCAGTATGATATATGTCCCGCGGCGATATAGAGGCTTGGGTCAGTTGAGGTGTCAATGGGAGGCTCCTCTTCAGCACTGGTCCATTTCCCATAAGTTGGCATCTATCGGACGCAAAAGTCGATGGAACTGCTGAGCCATCAATTCGATCCCCGATTAAGGAACCCGCTTAATTCCATACATTGTTTCCTTCGATGGGCTTAGGAACGGTTTATTGGATTTCCGATGCCATCGATGAGCTAAGCGCTGAATTCCGAAAAGTGAGTAATATAAAGATAAGAAGATTATTAATAAAATCGTCTAATATTAATCAGAAATTTTATTTTTAAATATATAATGAAAATACCCTAAATGATCAATATTAGATTTTCCAAGTAAAGGAATATTGTAGTCACAGTCTGTTTACTTACGTTATCTTTTTTTAAAACCACACATTAATAAATTAATTTAATGTACCAGTTATATCAGATTTGAAAGAAATATAATAAGATTATTTTTATCATAGCAATACATCCTCAGGTGTGGTGCTAGTTGGGGCACTGGAGTGAATCCATTCGTGAATGTGGGGCATTGAGGGTCTAAACTTGGCCCTATATCCTTCACGTACGTAGGCCAATGGACGTTTTCAAATACAAGAATGTTACATAAATAATTTCCTGTTTATAAATTAATATAACAATCTATTTTAATATATGAATATATAAATGAATTTTCTTTATCACTTCTAATTGCAATTAGAAGTAATAGCCAATATTAAAAGATTTTCGATACTACCTATTTTACTTATTGTTAGTTATGAAATATCTGTTTTGATGTACGTAAAATAGTACAACTGTTTGGTTAAAAAATTTCTATTCACATTTTTTACATTGAAAATTTAAATTACTTTCATTAACATATCTATGAAATGTGCGGTAATTAAAAATTTAGAATTTGAGTTTTTAACGAAATTACACTTTTTAAAATCTTCTGAGTCCAAATAGCCAAGTCTCAAAAATGTTTTGTGCGCCTGTATGTTGTTGTTTTTTTGTTATATAAATTCCTTAGATCAAAAACGAAATCAAAACGTCGTACATAATTTTGTTATGTTTAAATAGAAATTAGTTGTTTAAGATTTGTTTTACCTTGGGGCACAGGAGGGTCTACGGTAGAGGGGCTTTCGGACTGATTCCCCTCTTCCCCCTCCCCATAAAATTGTAAAATATAACCATGTAATATGAAAAAAATATTAAAAAGTTATCTCTAGTAAGTATTATTGTTCGTGTAATTACACTTAATAGGAATTCAAGAATTACCTAAACATCACTTCATATAGGTAGTTAGTTCCTTTCTTTTTCTTCCAAAGTAATTATTGTTATATTTATATAAAAAAAAAAAAAACTTTCGAGATGAAGCCGGCCAAAATTAAATCCTAAATCCGCAAGTGGCCCTGGGATATTATGGCAATTTATTTTTCTTAAATCGACTAAATGGAAGTGTCACTTTCTACAATCAATTTTACAGTTTCTTTAACAATTTTATCGATATCGGCTCTTAACGATTCTGATTAAATTCGTCTTATCGATGTGAATTTTCTCTTTAATATCGAATAGGTTAATAGTTATCCTCATTTAAATAGTATGACAGTGACTAAATAAAATATTGTTCACGGTAGTGGCTTATTTTTTCCAATTACTTTTATTATTTTGTCTCGTTACCAGATATAGTACAGAGTAATCCTTATCTTGTATTCTTTTAATATTAACTAATCGAACCAATCATTGTTATTTGGTATCTGTAAAGATTGTATTGCTTAATTTTCTTGCCGTTTTAAAGTATAAATAGATGTGGCAATAACATATCGATGGCTTACATCTAAACAAAAAATTAAAAGACAATTAAGTGGAAACATCAAAAAAATACTTGTGCTCTCATGAATACGAAATCCTCTTCTCTATTAGTTTCTCCTATCATAACATAACTTATGTTACCAATATAATTGTAAGTCATCTTACCTGCATAAAATGGGGTAAGAACTGTGGTCAACTGTTAGCACAAGAAACTGTCACTACAATGATTTTATCACTCACTAGCTCTTAGTCGAAGCAATAAATAGTATTATGTCCGCGAACACTAGTGGTTTTTCGCGCCTCGATGCATGAGATCAGGGCGGCACATCAGTGTTACCTCGTTATATGAATTAATAATGCACGTGAATTTAAATGTTCGACCTTACTTTTTACTTTGCTACTCGACTAGATTAATGAATTGTTATTATTATTGAAAGATATTAAAGTGCATATATATATTTTATGAAAAATCAATTCATGATTATAGTTTAAACCACTAGCGGATCCAGGATTTAGTTTGGAGGGGCTTCAGCCCAATAGGTTTTTTTTTTCATACATATAAGGATAACTACTTAGGAAAAAAATAAACTAACTAACTACCTGTATTAAATAGTGTTTAAGTGATACTTGAGGTCCTATTAAATGTAATTAATTACACGAACAATAATACTTAAAGTGATATTTTTTTCCATAAAACAGGGTTCATTTAACCATTTGAGGGGGAGGGGGGAGAGAGGCTCCAGCCCGAAAGCTACCCTCGTAGATCCGTCTGTGGTTTAAACTTGATAAGTTACCGTAACGTAATAAGATAAAATAGATAAGTTCTAATTTAAACCGATAACATAATAGTTTTAGCGTGCTTATTGAGAAAGAAAAAATATATAATTTGTTATGAGTTATAATGTTTTACTTCAATCTTCTGGCTACATCTCCGTCTTCTTACAATCTTTTTATTGGAAAGCCATCGGCCAACATAAAATTAAAAACTATATTTTTAAAATTATGGTAATTAATTAATACAAAGATAATATTTAAGTTATTTTTGAAATTTTAATAAGAAATGTGTTTCACATGTTCTTGTAATTTAACGAAGTAATGATAAATTCGGTACTGAGATAATGTTGAGGGATTTTGTTTATTTCAATATTATAACAAAAACAAATCAGTATTATTGAACCATTTTCTAAGAGCGTTGTATAACTAAAAGTGTTCATATTAATAGAATATATATTTATGTTATAATTCGATCGTAATTACATTACGAATATAATTATTTTTGTTTTGTACAATAATACATCAAAATTATAAACATCCTAACTGAACTTGTATTGACCTATACTGGAAGTTGCCATGGCGACTATCTAAGTGAACCTCCTCTGCTGTTCATCTTCAGTATTACCAATTAGAACTTCATACTGCCTGATCAGTCACCAATTAACTTTCAAATAAGCTGTATACTTTTAAAATCTTTAAAACTTATTTCAGCAATGGATTTCTTTGGATTTAGTAACCCCTTTTCAGTCTTTGCCAATGACCCATTTTTCAGGTATGTTCTGTTTTGTTTGGTTTTATTATCTTATCAAAGATATTGTAATTTGTGACATTTTTCCCCCATTGACTTTTATGTACCATAATGTTTAATTCCATCAACTATTAAAAAATGTCAATATTCAATGTATTTAACATTATACATTCAACAGGAAAATATTGTTTTCAGACACATTTATTGATGTAATGATTTTCTTAATATAACTAACTAAAAATAAATTGTATTTAATAAAGCTTGGTCATTTTATAAATATCTAATACAACTGTTTAGGTTTCAAATACTTATCACCTATTTAAGGAAGAAAACATAATGATTAATAAATCAGTCTAGCCATCATTATAAGCCTAGAGTGAGAGGGGCAGAAGAGGATTTATTTTACTGTCATGATGTGCTGCCCACAGGCATGGAAAATAATGTCTAGAGTGGGCTAATTAGCTGAAGATATTCTTAGGAGATGATGTTATCAGCTAATTCCATTTTGTTTCACTGATTGAGTGAAACCAGAAAGTATGTACCAAATCATAGTTCATTTGGTTCAATATGGATTGCTCTGCTCAGGGGTGCGCATCTTTCCAATAATGATGGGCCACCCTCTCTCCCCAAGAAATTGTGTTCTCCTCTCTTAAAAGTGGAACTAGTGAAAGCAGAATATTATTAAAATTACACTGACTGTGGTCCGTTTCGTTTTTTTTTTTTTTTACGTTGTTCCTTGATTTGAAAGTTAAGTAAGAAATATGCTTCCTAACAGAAATTCTTAACCCCATAAAAATTTGCTCCTGTCAAAAATTTTGCTGGTATAACTTACACCATTCAAGACTCCTGGGCACCAGTGCCCTTGCGCTACCCACTATATTGTATTATCTATAATTTAATTTATATTTGTACTAAGTAGTTGTATATTTATACTATATATATATATTTATGCTAAGTAGTAATAAAAAGAATGTTATTAAATTAATAAAAATTATAAGTATCTCAATGACAGAATTTAGACTTTTTTAAAAGTTGACTAATAAATTATAATATTGAATATTTATTAATAACCTAAACTTACTTTTTCATGTTTAGGACTGGTAGCGGAGGGAGAGATGGATTCCATCAAGTTGCACAAATGATGGATTCCATCATGCTGGATACTTTTGCACCAATGGGTTTCACCAAAGTCACAGCTCGTCCTAGTCGCCCTCAAAGGCGATCTCATTCACCCCCTCCTCAGTCGAGAAATAAAGGTGACTGAACAATGTGATTAGGTGTTTTAATCATGTCCGAACAGAAGTATTCCTATGTTATTTTATTTTCTTGACTCTTTTTTTTTTTTTTAATTATGTGTTAATTTTATTTATTTACACGGTAAAAAAAATAGTTATTTTACTTCTTTAATGTGATATTTTTCATCAAGCAGATTTTAAACTAATAAAATTGTTTGTTTAGAAGATTTAAGAACTCTGTTAGTTTAGAATTCAAGTGAATTTTTTTTCTTTAAAATGTAACTATTAGAATTAGAAAATTGCACATTTATTATTATGATTATAAAAAACTTAATTACACAAAACGGTAATGTTATTTTTTTTTCTTTTTAAGCCTCTGTGGATGTTACATAGTGCTACATAAGTACATTATTACATTAAGTATTATACTGTTAGTTTAGAATAAATAATAAAAAACTTTTATTCGAATAAAAATTGTAGAAATCAAGTTTGATATTTATTTTACTCTCTTGTGTCAATAAAAAAGTAGTAATTATAAAATGATTGGTGATCACAACTTAAACAAAATTAAAAAAAAAAAAATTTATTTGTCTATTCATGCTTAAGTGTATGCCTGAAAGGTAAGTATAATAAAAATAAAAATTAAGTTTTGATAATTATTTGTACCATTCGGGGAATCTGTGTTCTCCTCTTCAGCAATCTAAAAAAATAATATACCAATATATTTTAGGTTCAATCTAGAAACCAGTCATTACTAACTAATATAGAACACATAAAACAACTTTTCAAATAAATATAAATTACTTTTCTTTATAAATTTGTTAAAAAATCTAAGTTACATTTTAAAAATTATCGAAAATTGTATTTATTATTTATTTTATTATCCAGTTTTAGGATATTTTTATTATTTTGTTTTATTTTTTTAGCCTATGTTCATTTAGATTTATTTTTATTTTTTCCCTTTGACTTCTGTGGACATTTAAATATTCAATAATTATATTACATGTTTGAAGGTGGAATAAGCTATTTTTTGACAGAGGTTCAGACAGGGAATAGTCACAGGCGAGCTTCTCCTTCTACATCTCCAAATTCAAAGGTTTTAACTAATAAATGGGTTGCCTCATTACGGAAAAGAGATCCCGAACTCCAGCCTACTCTTCCGTCCATCAATAAACCCAAGTTAGTCTTGCATGTTTCCGTTCATTTTTATCTCTTAATATTATACCAAAAAGTTGTTATAAATTATTTTAAATATAAATATAAATGATAATCTTTCCTATTCAAAGTTTACTGACTAGAACAATCATATTCATAAAATAAAATTATAAACTTGTGTAAAACATATAATGTTATTACAAATTTTATAGTTTTTCATTTATGATAAAAAATGTCTTATAAGGTATGGATTAAATCAGTTGATTTAATATGTATTTTTATTTCCTTCAAAAAACAAACTACTTCAAGAAAAAAATGTTTTGTTGAAAATTTCCATTATGGAGAAAGTCCAATTAATTGTATTGTATAATTACTGTTTTTTTGAAGACTATTCTCATCCTTTATCTTTCAGATTTTAGTTTCTCTCTGAATGATACAGTTAAACAATCAACATTATGATAAAATATTTTAATAGTATTAAATTTAATATTATATGCAATTTGTTTAAACATTGTTCTAATAATTTATTTCCGCCCTTAATCTTAACACAATTACAGATCCAATGCAAGCTTAAATTTTCCGAAACCTCGTTCATTTGAAAATACCAATAATTGCCTCAATGCAGTTGCCTATAAAAGGGAAAGACGTTCATCGAAAACACGACATGTGAAAAAAGGGTCAAGTGATGAAGGAAGAGCAGCAGATGAGATTAAAGAAGATGGAAAGGAAAACAGTGATGACCCTAAGGCTGAAATGAAAGAGATGAGGTTTGAACCGATTGGTTATGAGCACCATTTGGTTGAAACAATTGAAAAAGACATTTTGCAAAGAGACACTGCTATCAGGTCAGATTGTTATTTTTATTACAGTAATCTTATTATTTTATTTTCTCATTTACTGATAATGAGGATATAACATATCTTGAGATTTTTATGAATCCTATAGTATGATTTATTTATTAATCAGGTCTTTGTTTTCATTAATATTGTTCCACTCATCCTTTTTTTTTCTTGACTATACGACTGTTTGTAAAATTAATGTATCATGCTGACTATGTATATATATTTTTTTAATAATTTTACAACTTCATATAAGCTAGCTTATATAAGCTAGTTCACAAGAGTTCTGCACGGATTACGCATGGTTCACAATCACTTTGGCCACACTTGTTCATGGAGTGCCGAATGCGTTCGGGTTTATCTGAAAGAAAACGAAGGGGACCTATCTCTTGAGTCAGTTGGTATTAACTTTCCCGCCATTTAAGTACTTCTATAACCTTAACCATGTTCAGTTATATAGCAGGAGCCGACTTACATTCGAAATTTAGGCTACACATCATAAAACCTGAATCGAACTTGTACATTTATTATAGATCTGTGAAAAAGAAATAATAATAAATAAAAACCTTTCCATTATTCATTATCTCGGAACTATCAGATATTCTTTGTCAGTTGTTTCCTCATTACGTTAATTCCTTTCTTGAAAATAAACATGGTTTTTTTTCTTCTTTTACTAATGACCACAATAATACCCATTTTTGGATTACCAAGAAAAATAACTGCAAATAACAATAATTACACAGCTAATTCAGTCAATAAAAATAATAGTGATTGAAACAAAAAAATAAATTTTAAGTTAACAGTTAACTAACTGGCAAATTTACGAGTTTCGTTGGTATTGGACATTTTTGGAATAAATATTTATCTATATAACGATTGATAAATACATTTTATTTATTAATATTGTGCACTTTTCGTGTGCAATCTTTAATCTGACATTATTTTCATACAAAGCGTCCTTGACAATTTAATAGGGGACTCTTATATCTAAGAAATCCAAAAATCTACGAACAATTTTAAATCCGACAGCATATTCATAAAAAGCTCCGACGACTAGAAAATAGTGGATCCGTATATCTAAGAATTCAAAAAAGTTACATAAACTTGATGCTCAATCTCAAATCAGACAGTATATTCATACAAAACGCCCCCCCAATAGAAAATAGTGGACCCCTGTATTATTTGAAATCCAAAAAGTTACATAAACTAGATAGACGATTGTGCAATTCTAAAAAAGGCTTGCTAAAATAAATTATAAATTCAATTATTCCAACTTCTATTGAAAAACTTGAATATCAAATAAAAAGATAATAGATAACTTCAGATTATTTATTATCCAAATGGTAAAAAAATCTTTTATACACAGTTATAAAAAATAATATAAATATATGCGTACTTACAGCCATTACATGTAAGCACGTGTCAATAAAAATGTTATTTCTAAAAGCATCTTTTTTTAACTGGTCTTGAAGAAACGACTCAAACATTATTTTATATATTTTTTCTTTTTCTTTCACAGTAATAACCGTCATAATAAAAATTAATAATTAACAAATTAGTAAATACACAATTCGTTAATAATGAAGTTCCATGAAGGGAATACTTTTTTTTTTTTTGTTCAAAAATGTATGAAAAGGGATTGTATGATGGGGCAATAGCGACGCCATAAAATACGACAACATTCGCCTGTTTTCTGGATTTCATGAACAAGTGTGATCAAAATGATTGTGAACCACACTTAATCTGTGTGGAACTCTTGTGAACTAGTATCAAAATAATTTAATGTACAGTGTAAACAAATTAAACTAAAGTTTCATTTGAGTTAACTTCAATTTTCCAAATCTTATACTTTTTTTTTATTGTACTTTTTGGAATCGCGCTAAGTATTAATCTTAATTTATTATAATAATGTAATGTAATGTCTTGAATACCATGCCTACAATTTATTCTTTTTGGCTTCTTTTTAAATCCTCTTTTTCTAGTCTAGTCTGTCTAGTCTTACCTTACTCTCTATGTTATAAATAACTTTTTCCTTACAGTAATTTTTATTATTATTCCTATTGCAGCCGCACTTGAATTAATCGTTTTTTACTCTTTTTTTTTTTATAATATTTGATTTAATTTGTTTATTTTTTCTCATTCATAGAAAAAGATCATGATGGAAATTTCTAAGATAACTTTGTTGTGTATAAAAACTTTTTATATTATACAGATTTTATTTTTTTTAAGGTGGGGAGAAGTTGCTGGTTTATGTGAAGCCAAGAGTGTTTTGCAAGAGGCTATGGTCCTACCTTTATTGCTTCCAGATTATTTTAAGGTAATATATAATTCATATTTTTTTGTAGGCATTTTTGTGTGTTTTGTTTTTGGAAAAATATCTATTTTAGGTTTAATACTTTTCTAAAAACCGAAATACTTGAAATGGTTAACACATTTTTAACTAAAAATGTTTCATGTTGCATTCTGAGTAGAAAAAAAAAACTGCAGTCCTTACCACTCTATTAGGACCAGTCAAGAACTTTAATTTTAATTTCTGCTATTATGTGAGAATTATGTCAGAGATTAAAGCGAATTCACACAACAGTGGATCGAATGGAAACAAGGAGGTATGAAATCCATAATTTGAAAAATATTGAAGTAAAAACCAAATTCCAATTGAGCTGAAAAATAAATTCAAACCTGTGGATTCGGATAGCCTCGCGGTGGACCAACACTGAGAGGAAAATGAGAAAGGACTAAAAGAAACAGCTAAGGAAGTGATCAGTATTCAAGAGAAACAAAAAGCCAAGATATGGTCACAGAAGCATGTGAAAAGTCAGTAGAGGAAAGAAGAAAAATGAAAGTCCTCTGCCTAACTACAACTGATCAACTTTCTCAGGACAAGTATACAGCTGCCAAGAAAAAGGAAAACAAAACTGTAAGATCCGCAAAAAGAGAATTCCTCAAAGAAAGATTGCAAACCAGTGAGGAAAACTGTCAGGCTGGAGATAAACGCGTAATCTACGCAGACATTAAGAAAGAAAGGGTAGGATATAAAGTGAGAAATACGCAACCGCGAGGAAAATACGGCATCTAAAGGATGTATATTGAACATCTGGAAAGATCATTTCCAGGAACTTCTCAATCATGGAAACCCAACGAACGAACGTTGCCCAACCCAAAAGTTCCAATTTAATTTAATTTAAATTAAATGTCAAGCAACTCAGCTGCGATCTCTACCATACCGACAATATACCTCAGATGTAAGGCCGAGTCCGCCATCACTGAAGCGTAGACGCTCATGGAGACTTAAAAACTCACGAGGCTGGACAGTAAGAAAATAAAGGATGCTACTGAATTCCTAAACATGGAGTAAAAAACTACAGCGGCTGGCAAGGGGCACAGAAAAGAAAAGAGAAGATGAACAAGAAAACTGGCCAATAGAAGGAAAGAAAAAATCGCTAGTATCCCAACCTACCTATATTTAAAGAGTGTATAAATTTAAAAATTATCTAAAATAAAGCTATTAAATTTATATCATCACTTATTTAGTCCACTAACTTCTTTAATTAAAATTAAAGGACAGTAAACAGTCCTAGAAATAAATTCTATTATCAGCTATTAAAGCAGAATTATTATGTCAATATCCCTGGCAGCCGTGGAAGGGATTGGTATAATAAATAAAACAACCTCAATGAATGACCAACGGGCAGAAATAGACCAGTGTATAACTAGCACAAACAGCTTTCTTCTCCCTCTCAAAGGTATTGAAATCCCGAAAAATCTCAAGAAATCTCAAACTGAGGGTGTACAATGCTATGATAAAGCCAGTTCTAATATATGGCTGTGAGACGTGGACACTTACCAGCACCCTAGAAAAAAGTGTTGAAAGATTTGAGAAGAAAATCCTCTGCACGATAACCGGAGCGATCTGGGATCAGGGTACTAACACATGGAGAAGAAAGACCAATAAAGAACTGCTTATAGAAACTGGTCTATCAATATCCCATGATATGAAGGCACGGAGGTTAAGATAGGCGGTGCATATAGCTCGTAGTAATCCATCTGGAAGCCTCTACATGACAATGAATGCCTCAATAGAAGGCAAAAGATTAAAGATGGAAGGCCTAAAAGCAGATGGATAGATAGAATCAACAGAGATTCAACAGAGCTGCGTGCAGATAAATGAAAATAAATAGTCTAAGACAGGCAGAGATGGAGCAGGTTTGTTAAGGGGACAAAAGATTTACATGGTCTGTAATGCCAACAGAAAAATAATAAAAAGAATGTGAGAACTTATAACCCAATTTGAACTAATATGTGTATTTAAATCCTTTTATCCAGGGAATACGTCGACCATGGAAAGGAGTATTGATGGTTGGGCCTCCAGGGACAGGAAAAACCATGTTGGCAAAGGCAGTTGCCACAGAGTGCGGTACTACTTTTTTCAACGTTTCTTCATCGACACTTACTTCCAAATATCGAGGCGAATCTGAAAAACTAGTCAGGCTCCTATTTGAAATGGTAATGCTTCATTATATTATTATTTCTTTATATGTAGTAATACAGTTATTTATTGTTTTATTTTTTTCAATAACAGTAATTATTTACGAACAATCAATCAATAAATATTCAGTTATACAGATTTGTTTTACAAATTTTAAGTGACTTGTCCTTATTTCAAAAATCCTCTGATAATTTAGATTCTAAACATTTATACGTAGGGAAAAAATAAAGTTTTTTAAAACAGTTTAACGAAAGCATTAAAACCATTTCACACTATTAAAAATCTTTAAATTATTAATTTATTATAAGCTTAAAAATTTAATTGATGAATAATAATTTTTAAAACATTAGCATTTTTAAGGAAGCTAGTCGACTGTTCTACATATCATGGGTGATTAATAATCAGGACGCAGTCATTATAAAATTTTTTTTTTTGTGCCAATATTTCAACCCAAACATGTGGTTGATCATCAGTGCTGGAACCAGGCCCTGATGATGACCCACATGTTTGGGTTGAAACGTTGGCACAAATAAAAAAAATTTTATGACTGCGTCTTGACTATTTATCAACCATGATTAGCATTTTTGGTATAAAAAAATAACTTGTTAAGAATATAATAATAGATGAACATTTATACAATTAAACAAAATACAATTATTACTAGTTTCAAATGGAAACAAAGATCTACTTTTTTCATATATCGAATTTTGCACAGATATTTTTTTTAATTTATTGTTTTGAGCTATCTTTTTCAAGCACATAACAACTGGAATTGTGATGTATGTTGAAACCTAGACAATCCCTTATCGACTACATCTATTACTTTCGCTTACACATACATAAATAAATTTTCTTAGATATGCCCATATTTCAAAAATGGCTCATTCGATTTGGTTCAATGTTGGGGATCATTAAAAAAAATAAGGCAGCATCAATTTTATCGAATCTCATCTGCTACTTCCTCTTACATATGTGCAAACATATTTCTCTGGGTTCTACTAAACCTCACCTGGTGGAAAGTTAGGGATTGGTAAAAACATGATAAAGTTATCAGTATTATCAAATTCCAACCACTACTTTCAAAAAGTACTTTCGCTTATGCATAAGCAAATAAATTTTCTTAGATATGCCTATACTTCAAAAATGGCTTATTTGGTATGGTTCTAAGTTGTAGAAAATTTGGGGATTAAATGATCTTGTATAAATTTCATTTAACAATTTAATTAGTTATTTCAGAAAGAAGACATGTGTAATTTATATCAGTTTTAGTTCAAACTTATTTTATGTACATTGTTCGTGGACACATATTTTAATATAAGAAAACACAGTAAATAAAAAGGATAAAGATTGATTGTTTATGCCACATATTTTTTGTAGATTTTTATCAATGAAAGTTTCCATATAAATTAGTTTTTTGTATGGTTGTCAATATTATAAAAATGTTACATATGTTCTGAAATAACCAATTCCATTATAATTAATGTACCTAATTTGTGTGTATTTATATAACTATGAGACGTTTTTCATAACTGCCACTGATATGATAAATCAAAAAGAATATGTAAGAAAATAATATTAATTAAGATTTTGTTTGTTTTCATCAACAGGCAAGGTTTTATGCTCCTTCAACTATTTTCATAGATGAGATAGACTCACTCTGCTCTCAGCGTGGGACTGATTCAGAGCACGAGGCTTCTCGCAGGTTCAAAGCAGAACTTCTGATACAGATGGACGGTATCAGTTCTTGTGGGTAAGTGATATTACTTTCTGTAGATATTATTTTCTATAGTATTAGGTATTAAATTCTTATTAAAAACAATTTGGGCTCGTAACTTAGAAGGTAATTTATAATTTTATAAAACATGATTATTGATTAGTTGAATGGTAATTCCATTTTTTTTTTAAATCCTGTTCTCAGAGATGAAAAAGTAATCATGGTATTGGCAGCTACTAATCACCCGTGGGATATTGATGAGGCTTTTAGGAGACGATTCGAGAAAAGAATTTTCATTCCTCTACCTGATTGTAAGTCTCAATAATACAGATAATCATGTAATAAATAACTGATTCACTCACAATTTCTGTACAAAATATTTTACCTTTTATATATATGTTGCTACACATAACTTATATTTTTTTAAGTATGATATTTAAGAATCATTCAAATTTTATGCATGACACTTCTTAGACTGTTTAAGTCAACTTAATGAAGACTAAATCTCCTCCAACATTTTTACCGATTTAATCAAACAATTGTATATATTTTTTATTAAAACCATTCAATATATTTTCAATCCCTGATTGTAGTGAATATTAAACAACATAAATATTTCATAATATATCTAGGATCTGATTATTGCAAATTGGTCCTAGTGGATAAAATGAGCATTCCATTATGTTTAATTATTTTTCCTGTGATGTGATCCACATTGAGGTCATCAAAACAATAAACATGTGTAATTATAAAAATGATACTTACAAAATAATTAAATTTGTTATAACACATTGATAGGGTTTTGATTTAAATAAATGAATGAAAGAGTGAGTACGGTGAGAAAAATAAGGCAAAAACAATTAAATTCTACTGAATAAATGAAAAGATATTATGTTCATATTTCCTGACCACTAATAATCATACTCACGACTTACAGAAACAGTCAGCCACCTTCAGAAAAAATTTAATTCATTATTGGATAAATATTAATTGTCTTGAATCAATGTTTAAGTATAGTTAGATCAATGTTTCTTTCAGATGAAACTAGAAAAGCACTTCTTCAGTTGTGTCTCAAAAATGTCCAGTTAGATCCTGGAATTGACTGTGAAAGGATATCTAAACAATTAGATGGATATACATGTTCTGATATTATTAATGTCTGCAGGTAATAAATTTGATCAATAAATTATAGAAGGTTCTCCTAACATTATCTATGGATAAAATAAAATAAAGTATTTGTGTTAAACTGCATTAGTGTAAATTGCTCTTATAGTATAAAGTTAATTATGAGGCCAAATTTGGTTCCATTGGTTGGTTGGCTGAATGACGAGGGATAATTTGTGGTTTTTATTGCAACATGAGCCTGAACAAATCCAAGCTATTGGTGTACACACACTCACATATATATATATATATATATATATATATATATATATATATATATATATATATATATATATATATATATATATATATATATATAAAATGAGGTGTATAAAAAAAAATGAGTTTTATCAAATTCAAAATTTCAAAGGACTGTAAATATTTTGATCCTATTTAATACTTACCAATACTTAATAATTCCTTTAGAGCATTCTCTTAGCTAGTTTAATCCCATTCAACTTCTTCAAAAAAGCCTCAGTTTAGTTATTCGTTTTAAAGAAGAAACATGACAGTGTCCTACGAAATTCTCATAATTTTAAGACATTACTGGAAAACAAATTTTACAGAAGTAACTCATGAAATTATTAAATATGAAGGGGAAGGAGTTCTTGACCAGTACACTGCATGGCGTTGGTTTGAAAAATTTAGCAGTGGAGATACGGCGTTGAAAAGGAAGAAGGGCTCGAGGCGACCTTTAATGGATATTGATATATTGATGAGGTTCCGCAGGAAGCTGTTGAGTCAAATCCGTCCACGAGAACTCGCGAACTCGTGTCCAGGGTGTGTGTTATGTCGAAAGATTCTGTTAGTCACCATCTACTCTCCATGGGGAAGGTGAAAAAGAGCAGTAGGCTGGTCTCTCACGAACTTACTCCTCAGCAATCAGCTAAGAGGTTTTAATTTGTTGAAAACCCTTCTGATATGAGACTCCTTCCTTATCTACCATATATTCACCTCACACCATTCGATTACTACTTATTTAAATCCATGGCCCATTTTCTTCAAGAGAAAAAAATTGATAAATTTGCGGAACTTAAAATTGCAATTCAAGAGTTCTTTGACTGCCATTCTAAAGAATGGAATCAGCGTGGGTTCGAGCAATTGTTTAGCATATGCTAATGATTGTAGATAACAATGGACTATTCTTTGCGTATTAATTGTATTTTATATCAAAGAAATAATAATATAAATATCTGGTTGAAAAATGCTCATTTTTTTTATATACTCTTTATATGTATATTTAAATACCAGTTTTGTCTAATTTTCCACAAACATTGTTTGTTGTCTTTAACAAAACAACCTTTTTTTTTTGGAAAGTACTAAATTTGAAGAAGTTTTGAATCCATCTTTTTCAGTTATAAATACCTCATTAGAACATTCGCTTTTTTTTTCTTCGCAATAAAGTGATCAATATTAAAGAACGTAATTATATATATATATATATATATATATATATATATATATATATATATATATTTTAATGGTACATAGTATACACTAATTTAAACAAATCTCTTGTATTTTATTCATGCTCATTTTTTTTTTTTTTTTTTTTTTATTGTCTGTTATTTATTATTTTCTTTAAAAATAAATACAGGATATTTAATTTTTTTTTTTTAATAACATCAGGGATGCAGCGTTGATGAGCATGAGGCGAAAGATTATGGGTCGCTCACCAGAAGAGATCAAGAAATTGACAAAGAGTGAAGTGGACTTGCCCGTTACTGCCACTGATTTCAAGGAGGCCGTGAGTAAATGTAAAAAGAGCGTCAACTGCAAGGATATAGCTCGCTATAAGAACTGGATAGACGAATTTGGTTCTTGCTGATAATAAAGCCACTTGCCAACTGGATATACATTATTTAAGTTCCTTAAGGCTATTCTCTCTGATTTGACTAAAAAAGCTTAATTTTGTTATGTTTCTCCAGTTGGTAAGTTCTCTTGCTGACTGAAAAAACACTGCTCTGAATTTTGAAATGACTCATTGATATGACTTTTAACTGAGGGTAACTACTATTTCTACTATCGATATGCTGTTAATTAATAAATTATCTTAATTGTTTAAGCATATTTAAATTTATTATAATTATGGCCGAACATAAATTTATAAATTTTTTGGCAGAAAAGACTGAATTTGATGTGTGTTACAAAATGATTGCCAACCCAACTCTGGTGAAACCATTTAAAAAAAAATTGAAGGATTCCAGAATGAAAGAATTGCATTTTTATTTATAACAGGTTTATTTTCAATTACATATTTTTTTAAAAGAATGGCAACTCAAGTTATGAGAGGATTCAAGATGAAAAAAAAAAATTAAAAAAATTCTTGATAACCTATCTTGCATTCAGGGATGAGAAGTGGGGCAGTGAGGGTATCATTCTCCCAAATATTTGGAAATCCCAAAATTTGTAAAGTTTAAGATATTAGAATCTACTTCAAACTGCCAAAATTATGGTAAAATATTGTTTTCATAATTACTTATATCTTTTCTAAGTTAAGAAATTGAGATTTTATTGATACTATGCTGTTTGAATATAATAGAAAAATATTGTTTTCAATATTGAATTTAAGTGTCAAAATTCATATCATATAAATGATTTAAGAAAATCAAAATATCTCTTTATCAAATAAGTACATCATAATTTTTTTAATTGTAAGTTCCAGGAAAATTTTGTACCAACTATTGATAATGTTGTGAAATTTTGTTCCAATCACTGATGTGCAATATTGTTCTAAATATATATATTTTTTTTCTGTCCACCCATACCTCATTTTTTGGGCTATACAGTTTTTTTTCTAGGCCAGAAGAGAGGGTTAAAAGGGCAGGGGAATCAATGCTAGAGCTAAAAGCCCACTGGCACTGGAACACGAAATCGTAGTTATTTTATCATATAAACTTTGGTTTATCAGGTTGCTGGGCAACGTATGTTTTGAACAACCATTAGTCCGCTCAGCTACCAGATGCCTCTTGTTCTAAATATTGAAATTTTTATGAAATTTAATTCCAACTATTAAAGTTATTGGTAAATTTTACATTTTCCCATGAAAAAATATTTGTAGTGACTTCCCTACTTGTTTGGTTGTCATATTTGTCTCCTTGTGACTTATTGATTAACAAACGCCTGAATTATTAAATGGACAAAAAGCACAGAGACTATGTTGTCGGTAATCTGATTGTATTGAGTAATAATTATCATCTCTTAATGATTCCATAGTTTGTCAAGCCATAGATGTTTCTTATCCATTATAATCCTAGCTATACTTTAGTCCTTGGATTTTTTTTTCTGTAAAATTTATGTAGTGTTGGGATGAAAAAGATATCAAATCTATATTATATTTACTATCAAGTTATATAAAAAATGAACACTAGTTTCTAATTCATGGTGTTAAATAATTATTAGAATGTGTGTCATGAACTGTAGATTAGTATTTCATCCAAGAAATACAAAATAATTAATTATTGATTCTTCAATTTATTATTATTTTTTAGTGTTCAACTGTATGATAATCATCAGTCTTAATATTACTTCCATCATAAAAAATACTGATTTGAAACACAAGTTTGGCCAACAGAATATATTTTATAATTATATATATGTATATAATTATAATATATATATATATATATATATATATATATATATATATATATATATATATATATTTAATGAAGGGTTGTGTTTGATACTCTTCAATTCTTTCATATTCCCTACCAATTATTTAAAAAAAATTCTTCTAAATAATTACAGATAAAATAATCTTAATTGTAAGTATTTTAAGTGGATAGTAGAATGTTAAAGGATATCCACTTTTCTCATTAATGAATTCAATCAAAAAAATGTTATCACAATGTCTGTTATTACAACTTCAAACGCTTTTTTGTGATATCAAAAGTAGTGCTATTGTTGTATGATACAATTAGGAGTATTGTTATCTAAATATTTTCGAGTTTATAAAATAAACGAACAAAAAAGACACTAACAATTGTATATTGTCTCATTTAATGTTTGTATAATCGTTTATGAAAAATAATTTTTGTAATTTATTGAAAAATGTTTAAAATATTAAAGATAATGTTTTATAAAATGAATGTATCATTTTTCTTTTATAATACCCTTAAACAATCTCATATCTAAGAAAATCATGTAATAAGTTATTAGTCCATGGTACAGACCTCTTTTTATCAAATTATTAACATCTGCCTAAAAACTTCGTGAATAGTTTCATCTTATAATCTACAATTTTTTTATCTACAAATATTCTCAGAAATGTGTTGTTTTCTATGTTGCTTATTTGCAATGAAAACTTCCAATAGTTTATTTGCTATAATTCATTTGTATTTTTTTCTTTCTTTATTTTTTCAGGGTGTTTTCTCATTAAATTAATCAGGTACTAAAAACTCATAAACACCCATTTGCTTTCCACTTGAATCGTAAGATAATTTGATCACAAATCTAAAAAAAAAGTTTCTTACAAAAATATTGGGCTGTTTGGCCAATATAACCTTATTATTTTGACTTGTTGGGGAAGAGGATGGAGGTCTCCCCATACGGCCCAATATTTTTGTAGGCCACCTTTATGTTTGATTTTATGATCAAATTATCTTACAATTCAAGTGGAAAAGAAATGTGTGTTCATGAATTATTAGTACATAATTTAATATACAAAGTCTCCCTATCTCCAGATTAAAATTGCCCCAATTCCAACAATTTTTGTAAATAAAAATTTTGTAGGTTATGATGAGATAAAGCTATTTAGGAAGTTTTAGGTGGATGTTACTAATTTGATATAAAGTGGTCTGTAGCACGGACTATATAGTAATATCTCCTTTCTCATTAAAAATAGTATGGAAAATAGAGAATTGCACAAAATACACAAAATATGTTTCTTATATCTATATATATATATATATATAGATATATATTATATATATATATATATATATAGATATATATATATATATATATATATATATATAAAAATGAATGTATGTCTGTCTGTTTGTCCATAGTGCATTACTAAACCATTCAACCGATCGCCATGAAACTTTGGGAAGTTGTTCCGTACACTCCTGGGAAGGTTTCTGGCATAGTACTTCTGTCTTACGATAATTTTATATATGTAAAAAAAATAAAAATGTAAATGTTTTTCTGTTCAAAGCCGCAAAAAATGTGTCACTATAAACTGTAATGCCAAAACGGCTTTACCGATTTTAACGAAACTTGGCTAAAGTCTTCCCCTTGAAACCCTTTTAATTTATCTGTATAACATACTTTCCCGAAAACAAGCTGAAAAATGTTACGATGAATTTAATATTTTATTTGACGGTAACTAAAAAAGTCCAAAGTTTCTGAATTGCTGACAAAATAAAAAATAAAATCATCGAAATAGGGCGGTTCGTTGCAGAGTTATTGAGTTTTAAACATTTACTGGTTTCTCTTCAGAAAAGGCCTTTCCTTTTGCTTCCTCACTACCGAACGTCGGCAAGCATTTTTTTTTTTTATTGATTAATCGAAAATTTTATAATTACTACAGTAATTGAAATTATCATTTAAAGAATTTATATGATTCTCCTTATGTAGGTCAATACTATTATACGTTTTTTAAATTAATTTTTTATTTAGTTTTATAAGTTCAACTCAGACTGTTTCTGATGATTATGAATGACGGCGTATTTACTCAGATGATTATAAATGTTTAATTTGAATCATGAGAAAGAAAACAATAAGAATTAGTTTCAATTGAAGCCATTTTACAGACAAATTTGTTTCCCAACTTTTTAAAAATGACAGATGTCCTTTGCTATTAATCTACTCATATGTGCTTTCTATTTTCTTTCTTTTTCATTTTGCCAGGCTAAGCCACAGCAGTGCGTGGCCGGGTAAAGCTAGTGTTTTATAAAAGGAAAACTGTAAAAGTTAATTTCAGAGTAATATTATGCTTACCAGCATTGAATACCAGTAATTTTCTTCTGGAAATATACCAGGAATTTCAGTTATTCTTTTAATTCTATATTATTCTTTTCATTAAAATCTTACCAACAATTAATAAAATTTAAGCTTATTAAAATTATTATCTTCTGAAACAAATGAAGAAGATCAAGAGGATATATGTTAAATTATTATAAGCTCATTATATATTTTTTTTATTCAAATTTGACTTAGCCGAAATTATCTGTTACAAAACTTCATTGTTAAGTAAACAATTTAACAAAGTTTGTGGTATGAATTTCCTATTCTTGAAAGAAAGAAAGTAAATTTTATTCTGGGACATTTAGTTTGCTAAGAATAATGAACAATGGTAATTACATTATAATATAGATTTGTCTGGCAAACAATAATTGGGTTACAAAGTTATGTAACATTAAAACAAAAATATAAAGTAGTAGCCTAAATATGCACATAACATGAAGAAATTACAGGTAAATAGATGTCCGTGTGTTAACATATTTGCATGGTGAGCAATATAAATAATAACTCTAAAATGACGGTAGAATAAGATTGGTACATATTTAATTTTTATAAATATTCGGAAGATTGATAAAAAAAAAAGGACGAGGAGATGGAGAAATAATTGGTTTTTAAATTTAGTTAATGATGAGATTTTGTGTATGAATGGCGATGTGGCCATAGCAACATGAGGTACGGTAATCCCCAACCAGGATAACTGTGCTTCCACAAGTAAAATACACCTGTACATCAATTGGCCCAAGATCTACATTGTCTAGAAACATATAACACTACTTCCAAAAGACGAGCAATTCATTTACTGAAACCTAATTAAATTTTTATAAGATAGAATGTAATGATGGACAAATTGTCTTTATTTCTTAAAATAAAAACGTTAATGATTGATTTGAGCAGTAAAACTGTACTAATTCTTTGGAAAAAAAATATAACCATTTATTTTATGAGTAAATAGAGAAACATCTTATAGAAATCCCCAAATGTGTAATCAAATTTTATCAAGTGAGAAGGGCATTTAATTTCAAGCAAATGAACCATTTCTAAAATATTGACTTTCTCATGTGACTTTCCAGCTCCAAAAACAAAAACAAACAACCCATAATCACTCAACAGCTCATATCACTTTTGTGGTGGGGGAAAGGGTTAAATTTCTAAACTAAAACAAATGTATTTATATTAGTTACATTTCTTGAGCTATAATCACAAAATATTATCCAATAATTAATTTTTACCAAAATATTAAGTCATCAAAAGTAGTTATACTTAAAAATAAAAATTGTTGACTACCTCAACAAAAAAAAAAACACGGCAAAATATTTTAATATGTACAGACTTTTTGAGCTAAGTTAACAGCCTTTATCAGCGTGGCAAGTGCAGTATTCTACAACCTGTATAAAAGACCTCAGGATGTAGAACCAGTTTGTTTCTTATTCTGGTTAAAACAAAATCATAACAAACCATTTTCCTGAAATATTTCCTGTTTGAAACATCTTGCTCTTTAACTTTAGCAAATCCGAGAGTAAGATGTTTTGATGCAAAATAATGAAAATTTAGAAGTTAAAGAGCTTATTACCTTATCTATGATAGTTAGGTGTTCCTCTTTTAAAAAAAAAACATTAGAAAATAAAATCATGACATTCTTAAAAAAAAAAAAAGTCCCAAAAAAAAATCAATTAAGTCCTATACAGACTGAAAAAATAATCTTTCACAACTAAAACTGAAAAAGTAATTATTGGTGGGTGGCTGAAAACAGTATGTATGAAATTCTTTCTTGATATTTAACTAATTAAAAATATTGATAGAAGCCCAGTAATGATAAATTTTCAAGTAACAGACATTCAGACAAGCTTATGATATTATTATCAGCTGAATTTAAAGTAATTATGAACGAATAGTAACATGAGATTTTATTTTTCCCTCAAAGTTTTTTATGTAAAAGAAATATTAACAGGTTCTAGAAAAGAAGTTTCATTTGATTTTATTATAGATGATTAAGGTATCCGGAGGCTTCAACACATCATAAAAGAAATTATTATTTGAAAAAAATGATAATTATTTTATGGATATTGTAAAAAAGGATGAGAGTATCATAAAAACAAAAAATTCAATAGGACACACCAATTTAGAGTAATATCACAGTATCACAACAATTTATCTATTTTTGAAAACCAACCATACAGAAGATACTTCTTTTGAGTAACAAAACAAAAATTTATTTAAACAATAATAAATAAGGATAATATAAACAAACAAAGTGTAATGACATAATTTTTAATAAAATATTTCCTATTACACATATTTATTTACAATCCGTACAACTGCCAATATAAGCATTGCTAACATTCCATTTTAAAATAGAGATTTTATTGTATCCACATAGTACCAAAATAATATGATTTCTTTCATAAAACTTCAAAAAAGAAAAGTCAGCCAATAATCCCTTAACATAAAAGAATATCAATTTATATCCTGATAGATGGTAGCTTATTCTTTATTTACTGTCAATATTTCAAGACATGAAAGCTTTCAGGGATGATCAAGAATGTTTCTATAAAGTTATAATACCATAAAAATAATTTAATAAAAACTGCAAACAAGGGTTAATTTGGCTAATAGGGAACCAATATTGATGATAATTCAAATTTAGCTGCCACACTTTGAAAGGTCAAAATAAAATTATAGATTACATTCTAATTTCACTAAGCTAATTGATAGACACTTAATCTATCAAACTTAGTTGTAGACCCTTGTTCACAGTTTCGATTTTATTATTTACAATAATACATAATTGCCAACTTATTTACTAACTACATTTTTTAAAGGAGAGCGAATTTACAGAAGCAATTTACATAAATTGTCTTTGTGTTATAAGATTGAATAAAGTGATCGGAGATAATTAATGTCATTCACAGATAAATCATATAAGTATTAATATACATCAACAGTAATACACTTATTTTATGAATTACAATTATATTAAATGTTTAAGTTGAATTTATGGAAGAAACAAGATGGATGGAACTATGCATTTAAATCAGTGAATTTTTCATTAAAAATATCATTTAACTTTTATTGCAACTTTGCAACAGAGAAACTTGTAAAAGAAGAATTACAAAATAATAAT